AAACACCTAAAATATTATATTAGTATATGTAAAAAGTATTCAAATTTTCTATATTATTTTTGAAAGATATGAAGTCACTTACAACTTTTCTAAACAATTTTAGAAGGAAAATATATCTAAAAATATTTGAATTTAACATTGTGTAAACATTATTTTTTTAGATTATTTCGTAAAGAAAACATGTCTACAAATATTTAAATTTAATATCAATTATGTATATGTGTATATATATATAGACATGTTTTAAATATATATATATATATATATATATATATAGGGGAGGATCCAATTAGTCCACTCCTTAAAATGAGTCAACTCCTTAAAATATATATTATTTAAATAATAAAATAATCATTAGTTGACTCCGGCGTTGGCCGTTGACTTCCGGCATTGACCGATGACTTCCGGCGAAAATTGTTGACTTCCGGCATTTACCGTTGACTTCCGGCGTTGACTCCGGCGTTGACTTCCGGCGTTGACATGTTGCCCTTGGTTTGCAATATGTATGAAGTAAATATGCATCCAGTACCATGCATTCAATATGAATTAAATATGCATGGGATATGAATTGCACATGCAGTCCTTATGAACTAAATATGCACCAATAATATCTACTAAGTATGCACCTGTTATTAACTAAATATGCATCTGTTATGAACTAAATATGCATCATGAATGAACTAAATATGCAGCGAAAAATATGCAATAAAAATGTGCATTTTATATAGGTAATTTATGATGCATAATTAGTTAATTTATTATGAATATTTAGGTAATTTATGATGCATATTTAGTTAATACGAAATGCATACTTGTTATATTTAAATTAAATATATAATGATGTTTATATAGTTAATTTATGATGCATATTTAGTTAATTCATGATACATATTTAGTTCTTACGAAATGCATATTTAATTCATGAACAGTGCATACATTTTTTATTTGAGATCCAATCATAACAATTTATTTGTGTTATTAATCAATTTAAAATTAAAATTAACTATATAATAAAAATCATTAATTATTATATTTAATTTAATTGTATAAAATGTATATTTTATTGCATATTTTCGTTGCATATTTAGTTCATTCATGATGCAAATTTAGGTAGTAAAATGTGCATGTTTAGTACATAAACAGTGCATACATAGTTGATATTATTGGTGCATATTTAGTTCATAAGGATAACATATAGAATTCATTTCTTATGCATATTTAGTTCATACTAAGTGCATAGTACTGCATGCATATTTACTTCATACACAATGCATACTAAGGGTCAACAGTTAATGTTGGAAGTCAACGCCGGAAGTTAACGATCAACGCTGGAAGTCAACGATTTTTGCCGGAAGTCAACGGTCAATGCTGGAAGTCAACGCTCATCGCCGAAGTCAATGGTCAATTGTCAAAATAATATTTAAATAATTAAAATAATAAAAATAAAGAATTAAGTAATAAAAATAAAAATTATTATTTAATTGAAGAGTTAAATCTTGGCCGCACATAATGTACCAATCTAGTGGCTAGGAATGAGTCTCACATTCACACTTTAAATATGTTGACTCATTGGATCCAATTCCTATGTATGTATATATAGACGGATATGTAAAAAAAAATGTCTAAACAATTTGTTTAAAGTATCTAAAATATTATAAGCCTAATTTAATAAACACATTAGGTCAGATGATATCGAAATTATGGCGCTACTTCTATCTAAAAAAATTTTGATTAGACAAAATTTCAAAATTATTATTACATTTTTTACGTTGTTATCGAGTATATATTGTTAGCTTATAATATTTGTAAAAATATTAGTAATTAAAACGATGAAAATTAGTTTTTTAGAGTAGATAATGAATTTCTAATAATAATTATGAATTGGTTTCTATTTTATTTTATTTTTTCTTTTTAAAGATAATTGATTTCTAATAGTAATTATGAATTGGTTTCTATTTTTTTATTTTTTTTTAAATCTGATAGATAAGTGATGATATTTTTTTTAACTCGTGAGACGTATGCAATGAGATTTTTTAACAAATAGGAGATAAATCGTGTAGATTTATGCTATGAGATTTTATAAGCTATCAATTATTTTTTAATATGATTTTGTAATGATAGATTTTTATATAATATCAACACAATATGTTATTTTGTTAACCCATAAAATAGGAAAAAGAGAACCTTAATTTGCCTTTCCCTTACACCAAACCTTGCCCCAGCTTTAGTTTAGGCATTTCCACTGACTAGGGTGTGCTTGTTGAGTTTTAACGTGTTTCAGCTTTTGCATGATTTGGGAATAAAGAGATGACATCTACTGTTTGATTAAACAGTAGAAATGATACTATTATGCCATGATACATACCATTATTATATCTTGTAGGTTGTTGGACATTGGAGTGGGCTTTATTAGTGGTTTTGGTATTTATTATACCATTATTAGTGATTTTGGTATTTATTTTCCCACACACCCGAATGATTGTCACCAGGATAAATAGGCTTTCTCAACAGAGTTTTTCATTTGTTGATTTGTTCTCCTACTCTTCAGTCTCCAATCATCGAAAGGGATTGGTGGATGGATGTTCATAAGATTT